GCAAGAAAGCTCGGCTAAACTCCGGATTCCGATGGTTGTGAGTGTTTCGAAAGGTGACGGTGTCTGTCTTGAGTTTGGAGTCAGTGCTTACCCTGATGAGATTGTGATTGATAGTTTATCAATCAAACAACCCCAAGGATCTGAGAATGAGCTTGCTTACGAAGGACCTGACTTTGAGTAAGTTTTGTAATTCAATTCGTAGCGCAATTGTTTGAATATATATGATGAGACTGGGATACGTTTGTTTATGTGATTGTATTTTGGGTTTTGTGCAGTGACTTGGATGAGAATTTGCAGAAGGCTTTCCACAAGTTCTTAGAGATCAGAGGAATCAAGCCGAGCTTCACCGACTTTCTCGGGGATTATATTGCCAACAAAGATAGCAGAGAGTATCTTCAGTGGCTCAAGGATATCAAGTCTTTTGTTGAGAAGTGAAATTGAACTTTATTCAGAGAATAAGAATGGGATTTTTTTACTTGAAAGCTTTTGAGGTTTTTTCTTTTGAGATCATCAGGACCCATGAATGATTAAGGGCAATTGTTGCTTGTTTATTATAAAAACACCTTCCGAGTTTCAGTTGGTAATGTTTTTAGTCAAATATGTTCTTAACGAGAAGTTTCTTGCTTAGTTGTTTTTTTGTAGTAATATCTATTTGTGTTACATGCAACAAGAACTCAAAAATGTATAAAAAGAGAGAAAAAAAGTTGCAAGCTTTTAAAAGTTTCTAAGACTTTTACAGAGTAAAGGGGTTTGAGAAAAGAAGAACAAACAGCAAAAAAGCTGGCTTTACAAGTCTCCAACCTAAAAAGAGGACTTTGCTACGAAAAAGCAAAACCAAAATCAAGAAACAGATAGATTCCCAGTCATGGAGCAACAAATCCAGATTGAACACCCAGAGAACAGTGATAACAAAGCCGACCCGATCTTGAAGAGATAGCTATGAGTTTGGTCTTTAACGAGTTGTGTCCTCAGAGCAAGACCCATCATGGTGGTACAAGCTGCCACAGAATGTAAACATTTCAAATAAACTATTTAGATTTTGGTTTTAAAAGGGAAAAAAAACTGACTCTGTCTGCATCACATATTCCATAAATTCTAGTGGTTAGTTGAGACAAAGAAGAAGAGTTTTAAAACTTACATTACTCTAAATCTCACTGTAGTTACGCCATACCGCTCGGAATTCCTCCCTGAATGTGTTAAGACGTGCCTTCAAATTCGGTGTTCTCAAGCTTGCATGAAGAATTGTAGCTATAACACAAATAACAAAAAAAAAAGTTAGGGGTTATAGATGAAGTAGAGTGATAGAGAAAGTAAATTATTGACAGTTTGTGTAAATGGCATACCAAGAAGTCCAATGAGTAGTGCCAAAGAGACTGTGAACAAACCACACGAAATATACCAAAGAGCAAAACTCACTGTGAAACAACAACAAAAACTCAGAATATATTTCAGGAAGTTTCTAATCAAATGAAAAATATATACATACAGTTCACATACCAAGTGAGAATATCAAGACAAAGACCCAACGGGGTTGACCACATATATGGATTGCTCTCTTTGCTGATGGGCGTCCACGAATGACAGGTCTATAAACACACACATAGTATAGATGATAAACAAGTCACAAAAGAGTATGAAACGTAATAAGGAGAGACAAGCGATAAACATACGTCAATGGAGGTCTCATTTTAGCAGCTAACTGTGGAGAGAATCTTCTGACGGTTCTTGTCGCCTTCTCACTAAAGGAACCTGCAAAGCTGTAGATAAAATCACAATAATCCTCGTTATAAATTCGTTACGATCCAGTATATCTAGCAGTTCAAAGGTGTGAGATTTAACAAGTTTGGAACTGTTAAAACCTGTCATTAAGAAATGCTACACTCAATGCTGTCAAAAGCGCAGAGAGAATCGCGAGAGGCCTCGTAAGAAATCCCAATCCTGACAAGTAGAATTTCACAAAATTTTAAGTAACAACAATCATTGGTAAACAAACACGGATTATGTGACTTAAGCCAATTTCTCACAACACCTACCAAGTATAAAGACGATCATGATGAAATAGTTTGTTCTGTAGCTGCAAAAACAGATCAACACAGGTCAAAATTACGCTCAAATCCGAAATTTATCTGGAAATTCCATAGCTAAACTACTCTCTTATCCACTAAGGTCGAAGAAAACATAGCTTCCATAGCAATTTTGAGACGAATAAGATCGGCAATTCTCAACGATTTGTTTCAGAGATTGATCATTCGTAACAACAGATCCGAATAAATATTGTGAAGCATGAGAACTTTGAACAAAATTCAAGAATCAATCGAGTACAATATAGCGAATAAGAGAGAGCGAGAGCGATTCGTACTAGTAGAGATTGCACTTGAGGCGACTATCCCATTTGGCGAAAGATTTAGGAACGGTGAATCTAGAGAAGAACTCAGAGAGAGGACGCGGCGGAGACGACCAATCAACTTCCCGGAGAGCATCGACGAGATCCTCGACCGTCACATTTCCCCAATCCATAATAACCTCCGACGAAAAATCTCCGATCACAAAAACTCAGAATCAACTAAACAACAGAGATTAATACCCTACCCAAACAACAGAATCGATCAAATCGAAGCTTCTTCGAAGAATCTGGAGAAAATTTGCGAAGATGAACCAAAACCGATTTCGTGCGGAAGGATCGAAACGAAAAGTCTTTTATGCTTCTTCAATGCATTGGGGGAAAAAATATAATGTTACGCCACGCGTCTGTTTTGTTAAAATGACATTTATACCCTTTAGTCTGGTTTTCTTTAACCGAATACTAGATTTTTATGTGTTCCGATGCTTAGCTGGTTCAATTACGTACCAACTTGTGAAATTACTGGTGGAAAATTAAATACAACTGATTTTCCATAAACATACTCATACTGTAGCAGAGTAGAAGTATTTAACTAGATACGAACTGTAAACTGATCAGAAAATTTAGTCTATAGTTTGATGGTTTTATGTTTTTAATATCTTATAAAGCAAAATATAAAGTAAGCTGAAAAATGTAGGGGTCGGATTTCACCCCTCTGAGATCAATATGGCGACGAGATCAACTTCACAACGTGACGAAATCAAAGCAAGTTTACAAAGATCCAGTCTAAATCTAGATCCAAAATGATATTAAATCCATAAGCAAAATGAGTTTAATGAAATAATATGTCTAAATTAGATATATTGTTTAACGGGTCAAACCCATTTTATGAGCTAACCCATTTTACTTAAAAAGTTATATATAGCTCATTGTACTCACCCAAAAAATGGATCAAAAAATTCATTTGACAAACACTCGTATTCTGCAATATCTTTCTAACAACTTAATAAAAATTCTCTTGAGATCTATCGTTTTAGTGGTTTTCTCGCGGAAGTTTTCAGACACTAAAAAATTACTAAGACATTATTCTAATTGTGAGATTCGACTCAAAAAAACAAGAGATTGTATTCGTCTGTTTTAGTAATTATTTTGAGTATTACAGAATTCAAATATACAACTTTGTATTAGCATTTAACAGAGTCGTGCCTACTTGGGTGAAAATAGAAACACTCGCCTAAGGGCATCTAATTTTGCTTTATCGTTAAAGATGACTGTTAATGTTTTCACCCACCCCAAGTGTCCACCAATATGTTGGTAAAGTTACTCAATGATTTTTGTAATTTTGTTTCTTCTTTATCCTCTCAGACCCATTTTCATTTTTAAACATTGATATTC